CGGGGTGGGAAAAAAAAGTCGCTAAGCAAATATTATAAACAAGGTGAGAATATTTTTATAGGACATTTTGGAGTTTAGAAAGCACTTTGCTACCCAGGACCTAACTTCATCTCCGCAACACTCCTGAGTAGTAAGAACTGGTTTATCTTAGCCCCGATTTACAGGCAAATTTTTCTTTCCACAGAAAGCCTTTTAACCACTTTTTAAAAAAGTGGTCTTTAAGGACACAAACCTAAATCACACACAATAGCCCAAAAGTAGAAGCAACCCAAATGTCCATCAACTGATGAATGAATAAATAAAATATGGTATATACACACAAGGGAATATTAGCCTTAAAGAAAAAAAGCCCAAATTCTGACACATGCTACAACACAGATACCTTGAAGACATTATGCTAAGTGAAATAAACCAGTCACAAAAGGACACATTTTGTAGGATTCCACTTTTATGAGGCACCTAGCATAGACAGATTTATAGAGACAGAAAGTAAAATAAATAGAAGTTATCAGAGGCTGGGGGGGGTGGGGGGAGGAGGAGGGAATGGGATTATTGTTTAATGCCTCTACAGTTTCTGTTTGGGAGGGTATGCTAATTCTAGAAATGGATGGTGGTGATAGTTGCCCGACATTGTGAAGGTACTGAAGGCCACCCACTTGTATACTTAAAGATGGTTACGATGATAAATTTTGTTATGTATGACTTTGCCACGATGAAAAAAAAAATGTAAAGGAAACCAACCGCCTCAGTGCTCTCCATTCTTATTCTACTTCGTTTCTTAAGAGGAGATCCTCCTGCTTTCACAGGAGCAGCTTTAACCTAAGACCCATTTCTTGACTTTGCAGGGTTTGCTGCCTCCACTTGAAAGTAAGAAAACGTCACACCTTTAAAAATAGCTCACAATCATGCCTTTTCGATAAATACAGGAGCCTGGTATTCCCCTCAGGTATTCCAGATGAGCAAGATCTGGCAGGGAGGGGGGAGGATTGGGGGTGAGTCACTGGTTTGGCAGGTGAGGTCATCATGGGGTGACCGTCTGCATCGAGCAGGCTCCCCACCTCCCACATCTCCCATCTTCTCCCCTCAGGGGCAGCTAAGTCAACAGCCAGCTTAGCTGCAGGTCTAGCTGCTCTGCTGTGATGTTCAGTGGGAAACATTCCTCTTTATGACTCCGTGACTCAACACCCCAGCAGATGGTTCATGAAGGCTCTGGTTACCAAAGCCAGCTCTGAGGTCGAGACCCGGGACTGCCAAGTCATGGTCTATAAGCAAAAGAGGCGAGACATACATCCTTGGGAAGAGAGAGGAGGGAGCTTGTTCTCAGTTGGAATGCTAAATATCTAAGAAATGATGGAATCGTTCTACTTATCTTGATTATCCTGATTAAGACAACCTGAGAGAGTGGCACAGGGAAGAGGACAGTAAATATTTGCTAAATGATTCTTACTTTGGAGGAGTTCAACTACAAGGACAATCCCAATCTACTAGTAAAACATATATATTTTTAGGTTTTACCAACTCTGGTTTTCTCAAAGAGGCACCGGAATTAGAGCTTGATATATTTTTATGGAGTGGACACAGGCTTCATGTGGACAGTCTTGGTATCAATACAAAGAACCATGATGTTTATTATGCAGGTAATTAGGTTATTAATAAGTAGTAATGTGAAGGGACTTTCTTGGACATGTTTGTACACTCATCTAGCAACCATTAGCAGAGCTACCATGCATATAAAATGAAAGAGAGTGAGAAAGAGAAAGTTTTTGATTTATTTGTTTTGCCTTTTTCCTCTTTGGTCTCTATGTTGTTGAGTCAGTCTGATATGGTTTAAGGTACATGAGCCTTAGCATAAGACAAGTCTTGTACTAAGCAGGGATACTAGGTTGCAAGGGACATAAAATGCATTCAAATTAGCTAGAGGGGGAAGAATCCAAATGATGACTTCAGACACAGCTGTATCCAGGTGCCCAAATGATAATGTTAGGGATCTGTTGATCTAGACCTCTGAACTCTGCCTTCATAGGCCCACAAGTTGGCCAAAAATCTTCCAGTAGCTCTGGGCTTACATCTACAGGCCTAAGACCTCATTAGAAAAAAATCTTCCTTCCCAACAAAATTATCTCACAGATTAAGAACCTCACAGACTGAGAAAGAGATAGATGCTGTTTCCATAATAAAAGGTAATGGTTGCTGGGCAGGCAAAAACAATAGGTTTATACTCCCCTGTCATATATGTATACCTGTGGGAGAGAGGGTTTACAATTTAGGTGCCACTTTCCTAGTTTGTCAGTGAGTCAGTCTGGTGGGGTGAAATGTTTGTGCACTGGACTCAACAGTCCCGAGTTGAGGGCACCTGGGTGGCTCAGTTGGTTGAGCGACTGCCTTCGGCTCGGGTCATGATCCTGGAGTCCCGGGATCAAGTCCCACATCGGGCTCCCTGCTCAGCAGGGAGTCTACTTCTCCCTTTGACCCTCCCCCCTCTCATGTGCTCTCTCTCTCTCTCTCTCATTCTCTCTCTCAAATAAATAAATAAAATCTTTAAAAAAAAAACAAAAAACAGTCCCGAGTTGAAACTCTGGTTTTTCACTAGCTCTCTGGCCTCCAACAATTCACTTAAAAGTAATCAGGCTAATAATAACTACCATGTTTTGAACATGAGACAGTTGCTAGGCATTATGTGTATTATCTTGTGTACTTGACAGCTCTGAAAGGTAGTTATTATTGTCCCATTTTACAGATGAGGAAGCTGAGGTCCAGAGGGAGTAAGTGACCCACCCAAGGTCAGTAAGCTAGTAAGGGTCACTCCAGCCCAAGGCAGTCTGACTCAAAGTGGGCTCTCGGGGTTTCCCTCTCCTTGCCTGCAAAATGGGTATGAGATGGAGGAGGAGAAAGGGGTAGAGGAAGATGAAGAGGAAAGGGAGAAACAACAGTAAAATGCCCATAACAATATTAAGTATGCAGTAGATGTAGTTCTCTTTGTTTCTTCCACTCTCGTTTTCCCTTGCTTCCTTTCTCTTTCTTTTTTTGGTTACTTCATATGGTCCTGATTTTTTCCTTCTTTCCTCCCTCCCTTCTTCCCTCCTTCTCCCTCTTCCCTCCCCTCCCTCCTGCTCTCCCTCCTCCCGTCCTTCTCCCCTTTCCCCTCCACCTTTTTTCTTTCTCTATCCCCCCCCCTTTTTTTTAAAGATTTCTATTTATTTATTTGTCAGAGAGAGCGCACAAGCATGGGGAGCGGCAGGCAGAGGGAGAAGCAGGCTCCCCACTGAGCAAGGAGCTGGATGTGGGATCAGGACCAGAGCCGAAGGCAGATGCCTAACTGACTGAGCCACCCAGGTGTCCCTCTCTAGCCTCTTTTTAAAGTCCTGGCCTGGTGCAGGGTGCTATTTATGAATCACAATGGAGGCAGGATAAACACTGGGGCTCTATTCGTTGTTTACAGCACTCATCCTCACAAATATGGCACCCCTAGAGGAACCCACAGCCATGAACCCCAGGGCAGCACTCTGGCTTGCCCAAGATCAAGTTGTAGTTCACCGGGAAGGGGAAAACCAAGGGGGGTGGCACTCCTTCAATACCCACCTCATGCCTCCATGCTGGCTGATCTCTGCTTGAAAACTGCTAATTTGTTTAATCTGAACTCCACTCTGACTGAGGTCGGGCACTTGCAGGAACACCCTCTCTCATTGGTTTTGGCTTCAGCCTTTGCCTGACCTCTCGAGTCCGCCCAGAGGCCCCATGAAAGAGAAAGGAAGTGAGCACCAAGCGAAGACTGCCTTGGGGCTTTGAGATAAGCACCTTTCATTTGGACATGTTGTAACTGGAAATCAAGAGGAGTTGACATTCAGCAGAGAGAGCTGGGTTATACCCAGACCTTGGGCTGCTGGGGGTGGGGGCTGGCTCTCCCAGGTAGATGCCAGGGTGACCCCTAGAATATGGCCTTCCTGAGGAAGGATGGGTGGTAGCTGGGGCAGGGGACTTGGAAAACAGTAAGCCTCTAGCTCCTTAATAACCATTTTATAGAGTTCCTGCCTTGGGGACAGGAAGTTCACACAGGTCGCAGAGTTTCCCCCCAACACCCTCAAAATCTCCACCACTCCCAGACTCCCCCATGACAGCTCACGGAGTGTGTGTGAGTGTATAAGTCGTTCTGTACGTGCTCACAAGCCCTGTTTGGAGTGAGGGCCTTCCCCCATGCCCAAGCCCCTTAGGTCCCTCCACATGGGTTCCCCAACTAGGCGGGCCCTGAAGTGGGGTTCAGGGTCTCCCCTCTTGGGGCACCAGCACTAGCAGCAGAAATTGCCTCCTATTCACCCCTCTCCAACCTAGGGGGAAGGCCCTTGGGCAGGGGAGCCGTGGGCTGAGGAAAGGCGTCTGGTGCGGCTCCCACTTAGTGCCACCTCAACCCAGAGACAGAGCATTTGTAATCCCCACTTTATAGATGAGGAAACTGAGACCCCCAGGTTAGCTAATAGGAACATGCAGTGTCTGCTAACCGAATTAGTTTATTTCATGGACTTCAGTCCCCCCCGCCAAGATAGATGCCCGACACTGGGCACTATGATTTCCTCACCAGTGCTTCTCATACTTTAATGTACACACACATGACCTGGGGAGCTCATTAAAATGCAGATTCTGATTCAGCAGGTTCTGGGAGGGGCCTGAGATCCTGCATTTCCGACAGGACAGGTGACACCACTGCTGTTGCTCTGGGACCACACTCCAAGTAGCAAGGCTCTGTCTTCAGCTGCCTTTCCGATGAGCCTGGGAGAGAGTACACTGAAGCTCAGCACTCAAGCAGTAGCGATGGGAGGTCTAGCACTGCGCTCTCGGAATTGAGATGTGCCCTGAGGGGGCGCCTGGGGGGGCTCAGTCGTTAAGCGTCTGCCTTCGGCTCAGGTCATGATCCCAGGGTCCTGGGATCGAGCCCTACATCGGGCTCCCTGCTCAGCAGGAAGCCTGCTTCTCCCTCCCCCACTCCCCCTGCTTGTGTTCCTTCTCTCGCTGTCTCTCTGTCAAATAAATAAATAAATAAATGAAATCTTAAAAAAAAAAAGAGTTCTGGTCTAGAGCAGGGTTTGTCAATCAGGCAGGGGCGATGTTTCCCCCCAGGGAATATTTGACACTGGAGACATTTTTGGTTGTCATATCTAAGGGTGTTGCTGCTTGCATCTAATGGGCAGAGGCCAGAGATGCTAAGTATCCTACAATGCATAGGACAGCCCCTCACAACCAAGAATCATCCAGCCTAAAATGGCAATAGAGTCAACGTTGCAAAATTCTGGTCTAGAGTCATCTCCACTGTCTCTGAAATTATTTATTTTATTACTCATCTAGTCATCGTTTTGGTCCCCTCTCCTAGAATATGAGTCCCATGAGACCGGCGGTGCCGCCTGCCCCTGGGTCCTAGAACAGTGCCTGCTGTGAGTTACGCATGGCCTTCTGGAATATACATGGAGGATCTCCCTGGCCACCTGAGCCAACCAGGTGGTCTGAATCCATCCATGCAAATTAGCCCAGGCTCCCCAGCCACCAGATGTCAGAGTGCAGTAAGACTGCTCTGCCCTGCAGTCAAGCTGGGACAAGACAGATTGGAAACGTCTCGGCTGGATTGCCCTCCCAGTTGCACACGAATCAATCTACCAGCGGCAGGCATTAACCCAGGGAGCAGAGATAGGCACTGTCTCCGAAGGGCCGTCTGTCTTCTGCCCGCCTGCCCAGCCACACCCTGGCAGGACTCTCACAGATCAAGCTGCTTCGGTGTCCAGGGACTTTATTTACCACCCAGGGCCGGCTCCAGCCCATCTGATCCGCCGCCTTTCCTTAGTTGCTGGGCCCTGATGAAGCCCAGGCCCAGGCTTTCTATGGAGGAGTCATCTTCTCGTGAAGGTTCTCCCTTCACAAGAGGCCGGTGGGTGGGGAGGGTGAGGCCAGAAGAGCAACTTGGGTCCACCCAGGGCGGGCGAGGGAACGGAGCCAGAGCAGATTAACTTCTCTTGTTCAGATAACTCTTTAATCTTCGGTGTAAAGTCTCGAAAGCCACGGTTCTGGGCGCTCTCCTTTCCCACTGGGCAGGCACTCCCGAAGGTGGGGCCCTGTGCCGGTGGGAGTCAGGAGCCCAAGTTTGGCCCCGGAGCTGGGCTGTGTGGCCTCGGGCGAGGGAGGGAAGTGCTCTCGGCCTCAGTTTTCTCTTCCATAAAATGGAGGGAGGGAAGTGGGGGAGTGTGTTGTGCTGATCTTTAAATCTTCTAGCATTTCGCTCTAGTCAAAGAGTCCAGGCTCCTTAGCAGGGGCGAGTGTTACTCCCAGCAGCCTCCTGGGTCCCAGCCCACAATCTACTGCCTTGCCTTGTGTTACAAACACATCTCAAGCTTCAGCTGCAACAGCCCGCCTTCAGGTTCATTAGCGTGCCTGGCAGTTCTTTGGCCATACCCTTCTGCCCTTCCTCGGAATGTTCTGGAATAGGGCTTCACAGCATGCACGGTGGAGCACATGGCACGTGTTGACAGTGTGCCCTGCAGCAAGTTACTTAACTCTCTTTGTGCCTCAGTCTCTTCTGGGAAATGAGAATAACAAAGGTATCTGATTTATAGGGTTATTGTGCTGGTTAAGCGAGGTGGTTTCTGTACGGTTGTTAACGGTGCCAAACACCTAGAAAGCAACAGGGTAAAAAGCTCCAGTCACCATTAGTATCAATTCTAGGAACTGTTCCCACTCATCTCTCAGGAATCAGCTCAGTTGTCACCTCTTTCAGGAAGTCTTCCCTGACTCCCACCTGCCAGCTGAGGTAGCTGCCCCTCCTCTGGGTTCTGACTCACCCTGAACTCACCTTGGTCACCACCCTTATCCCCTGTGTGGTAACGGCCTGTTTACTTGTCTTGCTCCCCTCAATAGACTGTCGCTTCCTTTAGCAGAGGTTGGAAATGGACCACTTGCTGGCCCAAACTACAGGTGTGCTTTAACTGGACTGAAAGGGAATTCGGAGGCATTTTAATGGGAGGCGATTCTTTTAAAAAGTCTATGAGAAAAAATCTAAATAAAGTCTGTTTAGAAAAAAATAGGAGGATTTTGTATAAAAACCTAGATTTCCAGCTTTTCTTGGAGAATTAAAAACTGTGCTAACCCAAGCCGCCATCATCACTGGCACCTGACCCATGTCACCTTCGGCAGGCTCGAGCTGTTGTCTGCTGCAGGCCCAGCCCAGCCCCGTCCAATTAGCTCACACCCTCTGCCCCAGAAATCCAGGGAGATAAGCTATCCTCTTCATCTGGGCACTTTTGGGAGTGAAAGGGGGATGTTATTTATAACCACAAATAAACTGGACAGCCCAGGAAAAACCGGAGCATACACCCCCCACGCCCCACCCCACTCCCACCCACCCCCAACGATAGGGCAAGGGTCTGAGGCATCTTTGGGTCCCACACCACGCACTTCCTGCCACATCAATGTTCAATAAATGGTAACAGCCAGGGGCACCTGGGTGGCTCAGCCCTTAAGCGTCTGCCTTCGGCTCAGGTCATGATCCCAGAGTCCTGGGATCGAGCCCCGCATCGAGCCCCGCATCAAGCCCCGCATCGAGCCCCGCATCGGGCTCCCTGCTTGGCAGGAGGCCTGCTTCTCCCTCTCCCACTCCCCCTGCTTGTGTTCCCTCTCTCGCTGTGTCTCTCTCTGTCAAATAAATAAATAAGATCTTTTTAAAAAAATGGTAAGAGCCAGAACTGGCTTTCTTGACCATTTGTTAGCTGTGTTAACTCAGGCAGCCCTCCCAAGCACCCTGTGGCGTAAGGGCTGTTGTCTGCATTTTGCAGTTGAGGACACCGAGGCATGATAAATTAGTAACCTCTCTCCACTGCACAGCTAGGAAGTGGGCAACCAAGGCAGTCTGGGTCTAGAAGATGCCGTGTTGGCCAAATCAAGAAGCAGCTCTTAAGGTCCCTCTCAGCTCTAAAAATCTGTGGTTCTTTGCATTTTTTTTTCTTTCCTGTTAGTTTCTCCTTTCTCCCCTGAGGCTCTCCCTCCTATTGTCATGTCTCTTCTCTGACTCTTCTACTCCACGGGCTCTCCTGCTCTCTCCCTCTGCGTCTCTTCCCCTTGTTTTTGTTCTGTCGCAGCTGTCTCCTGTGCGGGCTCCCCAACGCGGTTTCTGTCCGTATTTCTCACGCCCCTTCTCTGGCTGGACTTTCTCAACGTCTCTCTTCCCATGTCTCTGCTCTCCCTCTCTCTCGCCCTCCTGCTCCTCCTGTTCTTCCTCCCCCTCTTGCTCTCAGACATTCTTACCAACCGTGACTAAACAAACACTTCTGAGGTGGAGGACTATGTTTTCAGTAACTCCCCGTTGGTCGTGGCTGGCGGGAACCGACAAGCCAGACACCGTGCCTTCTGCGCACTTTGCTGAGGACAGAGGACAGGACTGCGGACAGAGGTCCGGGGCCGGAGCTGGGAGGCTTAGACGCCAGTGGACGCACCACTCGCTCCCCACTCCCGGCCTGTGCCTCTGTCCAAGTCGGCAAAGCTGCTGCAAGCCTCTCCACAGACAGCCTGCAGAAAGGGAAGCTGCTCTGGGTTCAGGTCTTCCCTCCCAGCGGACTGACCCGCAAGTGTATCCTTCTGTTCGGCAAAAGCAGGGTGACCAAAGGACACTTGTCACAAAAGCAATCCCGCCAATGACTGTGATCAAAGTATATGAAACCAATGACTTTTGAAGGGAGAAGACAATCTTGGAATATTATTTTGAAGGCAGGGGGAAAAGGCAACATTTATTTTTTAAAGATTTTATTTATTTATTTGACAGAGAGAGACACAGCGAGAGAGGGAACACAAGCAGGGGGAGTGGGAGAGGGAGAAGTAAGCTTCCCGCCGAGCAGAGAGCCCGATGTGGGGCTTGATTCCAGGACCCTGAGATCATGACCTGAGCTGAAGGCAGACGCTTAACCACTGAGCCACCCAGGCGCCTGGAGGCAACTTTTTCTTAACAAACAAACAAGGAGCAAAGGTATGGGGTGGAAGAAAGAAAGGGGTTCTCCTCGCCTGCAACGTGTGCCAAGAATGAAGGGCAAGGCATGGCAGAGGGGAAAGAGAGAAGAGAAGGGAACTTAAACAAGAGTCAGTCAGTGGCCAGAGGAGGAGAGGTTGAGAGAGGGGGAAGGAAGGGAGAACGGGTGACAGAGATTTTTTAAATTCAAGGTGACCCTTCAGCAGCTTCAGGCTGAGGCAGCCGCCTGGTTGGCTCTGCTCGAATGAACGTGCATTTACTGAGGAAGGAAGGAGGAGGAGACGGGGACAGAGAAAGACCACACAGATGTAGATGCCCAGACTCCAATCCCAGACTGGACTCTACCCTCTTTTCACCTTGGTTTCCAAATGGGTGTTCTGGCGTGCTGGAAGGGAAGTGTTCAGACACAGCTCGGCGGGTGGCGGTGAGTCAAGGCCCCACCCAGCCTGCTGCCAGCCCAAGGGGTCCTCTGGCCTGCAGGCCTGGCAGCTGCTGGATGTTATTGGGAGAGAACGAGGCAGCAGGGGCACGGCAGGCCATTCGAGTTCACTCCAAGTGACCTGTGGCCACAGGGTCTAGCTCCAGAGCTCTGTTGCTTGGGTGGCTCCATCCATTCTGGCAATTAATGGCGAGCTGGCTGCTGAGTGTGATTTCAGTGTGAACAGTGCAAGGGAAACAGCCTTGCAGAGTGTTATCAGCCGAGCAGCCAAGATCTGTCACGGAATTATTACCCACGCGCCTCTTCAAGTGGAAGCCCTGAGAGGGCAGGAACCCCGTTGCGGACCCCCCTTCAAAACTGCACTGGACATGCAGGCTGGTATACAGTCGGAGCTCAATAATGGAATGAATGAATCTGGATGCCTTCAAATCTCCCTGCTGCACCCCACCCCACTAGCTATATGACCCTGCTCAGTCCCTTAACCTCTCTAAGCTGCCGCTTCCCCTATCAATACAATGGGATAGTACCAGTAAAAGTATAGACTTTATACTTAGTGAAATAAGGGGGTGGGGGCACCCCGTCAGTAGCTGTCGCTCAGATATGGCAGGCATGCGAACAGAGGAGATCTTTTACACTTTGCGAAATCTGCAGCTTCTGCTGCTAGTAGTTCCAGGTGGGTCATATAGATGTTACTTTTTAGGGAGGCAGTGTGGTGAGGTGGTTAAGAGCTCATGCTCTGGAGGCCCAAAACTTGGCTCCAAAGCCCGCCTCCACCCCTCATGGCCTGTGTGTCGCTGGGCAAGTCTGTTGAACAGAGCTGCCATGAGGCTTCCAAGGTCAATCCCATGCTGTCCCTGGCACGTAGTAGATGCTCAATTTGTGTTAGTCACTAGCACTGGTTTCCACCGCCAAGCCCTACGAGGCAGACAAGACCATCCCCAGGGTGCAAAAGAGGAAACCGGAGCTGGCCAGGTGGAGAGGCGTGTCTGCCAGCAGAACCAGAACTAGACATCTTCTGCCCCCAAGGCCCACCACAGCTGCCAGAAATAAGGCCGAGTTATCATCAGGCCTGCCTCCACCCCTTGCCCCGGTGGAGAAGTGAAACACAAACCACCAGTGTCAGAAAGAAGAGAAGAAGCCAGCTGAGGTGAGGAGAGTCCAGCGGCCCACAAATCCTGCCAAAAGGACGGTCTAGGACAAGGTCAAGTGGAGGACGGCGAGAGGGTGGGGGCAGTGGGAGGATAGTGTGACAAGAAGGGGACTGGTGGCTGAGTCGGCCAGTGGCAAGGGGTGAAAAGCCGATCCTGAGAATGCGGAAGGAAGCCCTTTTATCAGCGTTAACAAGAACAGAGAGGGAAGTTGTTTGCATCTGGTCAGATACCTCGGCTATGACCTCCTGTCTGGAAGAGAAGGGTCCCTGCAAGCTTTGCTTTCAAAAGTCTCTTGGGAAAAAACACATGGCCCCGATTCTTAGAAGCTGCCCTCACCCCAAGTGCATAAACGTCTCAGCTACTCTTTGACCGGCTCCGAGGGGTGGGCCTTCTGCTTGCTGTACCTTCAGGATCTCAGGAGAGTTGACATTTCCCAGGCTTTCAGCCCATCCATTTTATAGGTGCAAGACTGAGGCTGGAACCTGGCCTCTCCGGTCCTCACTCTGCCATTAGCCAGCTCTGGGATCCTGGTGGCTTCACTTGGCAGGCCTCAGTTTTCCCATCTGCAAAGTGGACATGTTTAGACTACATCTTCCTTTCAGCGCTTCCTCTTCTTTTCCCTCCAGACAGTGTGGAATTAGAAGGCAAAAGTCACCCTGATCAAATGGTGTGGATTAGTAATAACCCAGCACTGAGGTCAGCCTCTGGAAGCAATTTAAGATGGCCCGAGGATCTGAGATTCCAAACCCCGCAGGCAAGCAGAAGTGTTCCCTCCCACACTGGGCCGCCTCCCTTCCTGAGCAATTCTGCTCCCATTCTGTGGGTGAAGCAGCTGTGCCTTCTGCAGAGTTTTGATGCCAAGCACATCATAGGTCTTAGACCAGGCAGGATGCTCCATCTGTACTGAGCACTTACTGAGCACGAGCCAACGGTAACCACGTCTTTCCTCCTCACAACAAGCCTAGGTGAGACACACACACTTCCTCTATGCATTTTATATCCATGGAAGCTGAGGCCCACAGGGGCACCTTACCCAGGTCACATAACTGCAGGCAACAAAGCAGAGGTTCAAACCCAACCCCTGCCGGAGCCATCCCATTGAAATCAACACCAGGTGATTGGGATATGTGTCATTTTCTTCCTCTTTTAATTTAAAACATTTCCCCCCTTGTCAAGAACACAGATTACTTGCATTTTAAAAGGGAGTACTACCAATCAAAGCATTTCCAAATAACACGGTAAGTTGTCTGGAATTTGATTTAAACGAATCCAGTTTGGGGGGAAATATAAACAAAGCAAATGGTGCAGGAATGGGTATTTCTTGAAGCTGGGTCTTGGGTGGGAGGTTCTTTATACTGTTCTCTCCCATTGCAAAAGTGTTTGAAAATGTCCCTGATCCTTTAAAAATATAATTTACATTTAGCATGTGAAGAATAATTAATTCAGGAGAAGCGAAGTGGCCCTGGGAAAGGCCCTGTGCTGGGGGTGGTGGTGGGGCATCACCCACAGCTGAGAGCACTTGAAGGGCGCCTCGAGAAGGCATTCATTACGGCCTCCAGGTTCTGCTCTCCCTGGATCACAAGGGCCCTCTCTGCATCCTAGAGAACAATCTGCCCCCAAACTGCCAGCCAAGTGGCGATGCGTGTTAGGGTTTCTGAAGCCCCACTGTGGTTTTGTGATGGAGTTTGGAACCATACGGGGTTCACGTTCACCCAGTCGGGATATCTGGGGAGTCTCTTATCAACATGCCGGCAAAGGCACAGGGTGTATATGTCCTGGGGCGCCCAGGAAATTGGGGAAGACCAGATCTCTGACTTCCACATGATTGCCAGCTTGTCTGGAGCGGCCCCTCTCCATGGGCCCCCGAAGGCCTAGTACCCTCTGCCCTTGCCTTCAGCCAGTGTGCCATGGGAACCCCACGTGTCCCTCCAGGCACCCCCAAAACAAGGATACCTCCTGTTTGCAACCTTCCTCGCCTGCAACTGCTCCTTCCTCAGACAAGTGGAACTCACCTCTCTATTGGCCTTCATTCTATTAAGCTGTGATTGGGCACTTATTCAATGATTGAGCACCAACTATATGCACTGGGGTGATAGGTGATAGCACATAGCAAGTGCATAGATAGACAGATGAAAGGGGGCGTAGATAACATACACAGCATGGAACAGACTTGGTACCTATGCCCCAAGGGCTTCTAATTTCCCAGGGGAGAAAGGCAATCATCAACTATTAATACTATTAATCACTGAATTATGAGTCTGACAAGGGCTTTAGAGAAGTGCGGCAGCTGTGAGGGCACGTAAGGGAGAATGAGGTCTGATGGGGTGGGGGCATGCAGAGGATTCAAAGTAGGCTTCTTGGAGAGAATAGTGTCTCAACTGGGATCTGGAGATTTGAGGCATTCGCTGGTCAAACAGGGAAAAGAGGTTATTCCTGACAGAGGAAACAGCATGTGCAAAGGCCTTCCGGCTTAGTGGAAGGAAGTGAAGGAACATAGTATGGACTCTGTAGTCTTAAGGAGTATGAGTGGGGAGGAGATCATAGAGCTGGATGAGAAGGAGCTAATGGCAGATAGTAAAGGAGCTTGAAGGCCAAGTTAAGGATGATGAGGTACTCATGAGGGTGTGTGTGTGTGTGTGTGAACATTGTTCTTTTAAGCCTGAAACGACCACTCTGGTTATGGGGACTTGAATGGCTCAGAGCAGGGCAAATGTGGATGCTGCTGGGCCTGGACTAGCAAGCTCAAATGGCACATTTGTGAGATGTCGGAGAAAGGACTTTTCAGGGAAGACACAGCCCTCTAGACCCATGTTTAGGAAATGGAACCTGGCTTGAATTTCAGCACCCATGAACTCTGAGCCTGCACCCTTGTTCAGTGAACAGCTTTACAATGGACTTGGATTCTGGGAAATAGAGAAATCAGAATGCTACAGAACATCTGTTGACAAATCTGCCTCCTCCACTTTCAGTATCTTGAATTCTGAGTTCTTGAGTTCCATATTCATTTTTGTAACCCCAGTGCACCATAGGACATGCTCCAAATGTTTGCTGAATGGATCATTCTTTGACCACATTTTTTCCCTTTAGACTTTCTGTCCTCTTGTTCTTTTCTTTTTAATTCATAATGGCTTCCTTTTAATGCACACCTGTTAGGTGTTAGGAAGCGCTGTGTTAGACATTTTGCCTTTTTAGTCTTCCAAATATCTTGTCCTCTGTCCATTCGACAGTGACTGTGGCCATGGTCACACAGCCAAGAAGGTGGGCAGGGAGCAGGTCATACTGTGTGTGAACCTTTCAAGTCCTAAGGGCATGGAGACAGGGTAGGCAGCAGCACCCCTTCTGGTAAATATTCTTGTGGTTGAATCTCTAAACTTTGAACCCTAGAATGTCAGAGCCGAAATGGACCATGTGGGGCCTCATATTATAGATGGGTCACCGAGGCCCAGAGAAAGGCTGGAAATTGCTTGAAGTCACTGAGTAAGTCAGAGCCAGAGCAGAACTGGAAACCAGGTCCCCTGACAGGTTTGGAAGAAGTAGATAGATATCAGCAGTGGAGATTAGAAGAGAAAGACCAAGGGGGGAAATAGCTCTCTCGCGATGGTATCTGACGCCGATAGCTATCTGTGAGACTGCCAGGGGTTAGCACAGGACACCGGAGAGTCCTTGGAGACTATCTGAAGGGGAAGAGAAGGGAGAGAAAACAGGACTTCCTCAAGGAATGGGTGGGTCTCTAAACTGGAATCCATCTGGATCCAGCCTGGCCATGAATGTCTCAGACCCGAAGTGCAGTTTCTGGTTCTGGGCCTGGTCAGTCTGGGGACCCCTGGCCGCGAGCCAGGACAGCCTTCACCGCCAGCAGCAAGCCTCTGATGGCCTGCTGTGAGGGCAGAGGAGGAAGGCAGAGAGAAGGCCTGGTTCCCCTTCCCGGGGGCCTCCGCCACAGGCACCGTCTGAGGGGCCCCGCTCCGGTTCTCTGTCGGTGTCTGCTCGGGGTTTTCCTGGTTCTGGGTCTCTATCACAGCTCCTCTTATGTCACATTGCCTCGGGTCCCACTAGCGTTGCCCTGAGCTGGAAAATCCCTCAGAGCCCTAGCCGCCTGTGACCATAAAGGCAGGAAACTGTGACATGGAGGCACGCAGGGTGTGAGGTTTATTCTTGGTGTGTGGTTGGGAAGGGCGGGGCTGAGCAGGGGTGGAGTGGGATGGGATAGTCAGGAGAGAAAAGAGAAATCCAAAAAGAAGGAACCCCAGAGGATTTCAGACTAGTTTTCCTTCCCAGAGTGTCACCTTTGCTTCCGGCTCCCGGGATTGTCTCCCTACCTTGGGACTCCATGGAACCTCTTGGGGGACATCTCAGGATCCAGGGTGCAGCTTCTCAATTCGGGGAGCCCGACCTATGGGGTCCGATTAGTAGTAGCAATGGTAGTAATGCAAGTAAGAGTTGTCGTTAATCAAACTCTTTCTAGATGCCAGGCTTTGTGTACCTAGTACAGTGCCTGACACACAGGGAGCCCTCAATAAATGGCAGCCTTGTTTTAATCCACATGTCCACCTAAGAAGTAGGTATTACTCCCATTTTATAGATGGGATAACTAAGGCCCAAAGAGCGTAAGTCATTTTCCCACCGTCATACAGCTATTCATTTGTCTGTGGACTCAACAAATAGGTATCGATCCCTCCCATGTGGTGGCCACTGTCCTAGGTGAGAGGAATAGAAATCCGAGCACAGTTCCTGTTATCAAGTTTATTTGTGTATGTTCTAGTCAAGGGCGAACAAATAAGCAAATCAGCAAGGAAAGCAATTGTAGATGGGGTTAGGAAGCAAGCAAGGCAAGGAAGTATAGATTGTGAGCATGGTGGTGTTTAGCAAAAACGGTAAGGGAAGGCTTTTTTTCAGAGGTGCCATTTGAGCTATGGTGGGATGGGTGGGAAGGAAGCTGGGAAAGGCTGTTCTCAGCAGGACAAACAGGGAGAGCCAAGGCCCTTGGGTGGGAAAGAAACTGGTGGATTTCTAGGAAGTCCAAGGAGGGACTGAGGTGAGCAAGGAGAAGCATGGGAGGAGGGGAGGTGGGGCAGCAGGGCCTGGGTCACAGCAGCCTTCTAGACCACGGGAAAGGGACAGTTTTGTCAGGGGCTGTCAGTAGCAGAGGTTGGATTTTCATCCATAAATTCAGGCCTCCACGGCCAGCCCAGGCTCTGTCCTTGGCCCAGGCCTCAGTCCTGACTCGCCTGGGTCCCTGCTGTCCATGACCCTCTCCACTCGCAGAGGGTCATGGGCCAGGCAGAGCCACTCTCATTTGCCCAGCTCAGAAGCCTCTCAGGCCTGCGGGTTCCCCACTGAACAACAGGAACAAACTCGGGTTATCAGACAATCAGGCCTAAGGAAGCCATTCCAACCCAAGACCCTTCCTTCCTGGCTCCCCGCACCCTTCTGCATCTTCCCCTGCTTCCACTCACCATTCCCTCACGGTAGAGTCAGCATTGGCCTGACTTGCGTTCAAATCCTACCCTCCTCATCAGTGGGACAGTGGGCAAGTGCCTTCATCACCTCTCCAAGCCCCCTTCCCTGCCCTGGGAAGTGGGGTAATACCCGTGTGCTCTCATAGGGACGTGGGTGAACACAAATTAGGACAGGAGGAATATCGGCACATGTTGAGAGCCTGCTCTGGGTCAAGCATATGCTCATTGCTTTACAGGCATTAACTCACTTCATCCTTGTATCAACAACATGGGAGAGCTATTGTCAGAGCCAACTCCGTGGGCGTGTGGCCCGTGCAGTCACACAGGGCCACCCCGCACTTCAAAGGGCCCCGCGCTTGGTTTTATACTCAGCCATCGCCATCTTGAAAGTCTTGATTTTTCAATGAGGAGCCCCACATTTTCGTTTTACCCTGGGCCCTACAAATGATGCTGCTGAACCTGATTATGATATATTCATCCAAATATTCAAGAGGTATTTATTAAGCCAGGCACGGTTGAAGACCCTGAGGAGATAGGAGTGAACAAACAGAATTCTCCACCCTCATGGAGTTTACTTGCATCCCCTGCCAGGTGAGAGAAAGGAAGTTCCAAGAAGGTAAGTACTTGCCCAAGGTCACACAGTGAGAAAGCGGGTGCCCAGCTTCCAACTCAGAGCTCATGACTGCAATTCCAGCCCTCCCCACCCCCCTCCCTGACCCCACCACCAGCACCACACCAGCCGCCCCAGCATAGGGCTGGAAAGTGTCTAACGGGATGCCAGGCAAACAAATAGCAGATACTGTTCCAAGAGCTTTAAATGTATTAACTCATTTAGTTAGAACAACCTCATTTTAGAGACAAGGAGATGGAGTCTCAGAGAGTTTCAGTAACTTGCCCAGAGTCACGGTGCTGGTAAAAGGCTGAAATTAAGAACCCAAGTAGACTGGCTTAGAGCCACACTCCTGGCCACGCCAACACATTGCCTTTTGAAGTAATCATTTAGAAAATATGACTTTTATGATTATTTTCATCACCACTGTTTTCATTTTTGTCTCTGGAGGCCCCATGCACACATGAGGCATGACCCAAATCAATTCATGCAGAATGAAAGGATTAACACAAGAACGAGCAGACTCATTCGACATATGCCCCACCCCCCACAGCACCCCAACCATCCCAAATCTGACACGATTTATCACCTTGACACCCAGCTTCTCTGTCTTGCCTTGAGCCAGTGATGAAATCTCTCAGTGCTCAGGATGTAGAACACAGGGTCGCGTCTTCCAGTAAACAGGCGGGGGCTTGCAGGGAGGGGGTGCCGCGGGGAGGAGTTCACAGCGATGGTTATCACTGAGTAGAAGCTTTCCTTTTCCTCCCGACGTGATGACGTGATGACGGGGCTCTTGAGGCAGAGGTTCCCTCCCCCTAAAGGCTGTCGCTGTTCAGAGGGTCTCCTCTCCCATGCGTGGGCTGATTTGAGGACCGTATCTGTCGGGCAGGCTGTAAGCACCGGGTGGGTTCTAGGACTCCGGAGGTGACCCCTGCCCGGGCTGGACATTATGCTCACTGATGCCTGACATCCCCTGTCATTCATTCATTATTCAGCAAAGAGTTATTGCGTGCCTACGATGTGTCAGGTACTTTTCTAGGACCTGGGGAATAAAACACAAAAATCCCTGCCCTCGGGGGGCTAATATTCTTGTCCAAGATATTGCCACTGGAAATTCTTTCGAATGGATGACAGACGTTGGGAATTTTACCTTGTTGGGTGCTGGATATTTTTTCACTCTTATAAATATTATCAAGTTTTGTCAGGACACAGTTAAGGCACTTTTTAATTGTTTCAGGTGGGAGAGTAGAACTGGCCCCTGTTACTCCATTTTGTCCAGAATCAGTTTTTCTTTAATGAGAAAGGCTCTAGGCCTGGGAGAGGTAAGACTTGAAAGCCCATAAGTTATTTATACCTTCATGGGAATGACTTTCTAAGATCCTTCTGAAGCACTGTAGTAACAGGAAGTGAAGAACTGGAAGACACTAGCGTAGAATGTAGGACCCAGAAGAAAAATCCAAAAATGCTCATGGAGGGGCGCCTAGGTGGCTCAGTTGATGAAGTGGCTGCCTTCAGCTCAGGTCATGATCCCAGAGTCCTGGGATTGAGCCCCATGTGGGGCTTTCTGTTCAGCGGGGAGTCTCCTTCTCCCTCTCCCTCTGCCCCTGTCCCACTCTCCGCCCCCAAACCCCCCTCACCGGCTTGTGCCCTCTCTTAAATAAATAAAATCTTTTTTAAGGATTTTATTAAAAAGATTTTATTTATTTATTTGAGAGAGAGAGAAGAGAGGGAGAGCACAAAGGGAGAGTGAGAGGGAGAAGCCGACTCCCCGCTGAGCAGAGAGCCCGACATGGGACTCTATCCCAGGGTCCTGGGATTATGACCTGAGCCGAAGGCAGACACTTAACCGACTGAGCCACTCAGGTGCCCCTCAAATAAATTAAATCTTTTTTTAAAAAATGCTCATGGGGCCATTATTTCATTTTAATTCACACCATCTTGCAAGTCTGCTGCTAGGTCAAGGGCTTCTTTCCATTTTATAGATGAGGGATGAGCCTTGGATTGTTTAGATGACTGGCTCAAAGCTAGGCACATGGTTAAGACCCAGGGCTATGACTTCTCCCCTAGAGTTCCTTCCAACAAACCTTGGGTCAGGGGTCACCATCCAGAGAGGGAGAACAAAGGGCATCTACGGTCCCCAGCACTTGTACCGACTTGGTTAGTTCACACACGGCTGGCCTTGCCCCTTCTGCTTCAGGTTTTTCTGAGAAACAGCCTCGGGGCCAAAGCCAGTACAGTTCCTTGTCCTGGCAGCAGCAGCTACAGGTTAGGAAGACTGAGCAATCTGACAGGAATGTAGATGCCATGAGAGCAGGGACTGCATCCGTTTCAGTGACCCCGGGGCCCCAGTGCCTAGCACAGCTCCTGACTCCTAGTAGGTTGTCAAAGAATATTTGTTGGACAACAAAGCACGAAGGAAGGGATTTGGGGGTTACGCAGACAATAATGAACACCTGTCTCAGTTACTTCAGCTACCAAGTAGAGTGATGATCCCTGACTTATAATGCTGCTTTTCAATTTTGTTGATGTATTTTATGCTCCATGATGGCGGGGGCTTATGTCTGTTTTATTTAAGTACTGCTCTATCCCCAGCATCTAAAACAGTACCCGCCACACAGTAGTAGGTCCTTAAGAACTACGAATTGGGGGCGCCTGGGTGGCTCAGTCGTTAAGCGTCTGCCTTCAGCTCAGGTCATGATCCCCGGGTCCTGGGATCGAATCCCGCATCGGGCTCCCTGCTTGGCGGGAGGCCTGCTTCTCCCTCTCCCACTCCACCTGCTTGTGTTCCTGCTCTCGCTGTTTCTCTCTCTGTCAAATAAATAAATAAAATCTTTAAAAAAAAAAAAAAAAAGAACTACGAGTTGGGTGAAGGGATAAGAGGGAAACATCTAGGCTTCAGTGAAATGTGTACCTAATAGGTCCCAACATAGCCCTCTGGTTAAGAGCAAGGAATTTGAAGTCATTCCCGAGTTTTACCCCGACTCTGTCACTTATTAGCTATATGACCTCCAAAAAATCTGAACCTCAGTTTTCCCCAGGACATGTGATGAGGGGAGTCATCTTCTCTGCATGAGGTGTTCTGAGGATTAATTAAGAGACGTTCTGTGTATAGAGTGCTTAGCATAGTACCAGGAACAAAGAAAATGCTCCAAAGTTATTTAAGAGTTCAGGTGTCTAAGAGTGAGGGTGCATTTTTTTAAGGGCCATTTTTCTCCAAAAGAACTTTTATCCCTGAGACTCCCCAAAAAGACCCCAGAGGTTGTTCTCCTGAAAGATGAGGCTGCCTGGAAAATGAATTTTCTTCAAATCTCCTGTTGGCAACTTGGAAACCCCTTGAGCCCGCAGGGCAGCACCCCGTCCTGCCTCGCACCAGCTCGATCCTGATGCAGCCGGATTCGCCGTGGGGGCACCAGCCTCTGCCCAGCGTCCTGGTCTACAGCAGCCCTTTGAAATTGGGATGTGCCTTTTCTTGTCTGGTTGGCCTGGCCTCAAAGCTAATAAGCAGCGCGTTGCCACACCAGGGTGAAGTGGATGCTCGAGAGAACACCAGGGGAGATAGTGAGTGAAATCTAGTCCCCCAGCGAAGGCGGCCAGCAGATAAAGTGACCTCCTTGGGCTCTGCCATTCCCACTGTGGCTCATCCACCCTCATCCATGGATCTAGTCCAACTCACAGGTCGGAGTTCTGGGCTTCCTGTCCTCAGCTTGTGAAGCCTGTGGGTGTCATAAATATTTGTCAATTTTTGCCTTAGAAACGTTGGTCATTATCAAGGAATATCGCATGGCTTTGAAAAGAACAGCCAATGAAGCTGATCTTGCTGTAGACTGCAAGGCGGGGGGCGGGGAAGGGGGGAGCCATCCAAAGGGTGATTAGACAAGCCTCTAACACCAGAGGCTGAGACGACTCAGAAGGTAGGAAGGGTGCAGGCCATAGAGAACGCTCTCAATTCATGAAAGCAATTATTCTGTTGATTTAAGAAGGAGATTCCAGGGGCACCTGGGTGGCTCAGTTGGTTGAGCACCTGACTCTTGCTTTCAGCTCAGGTCATCATCTCAGGGTCCTGAGATGAGCCCCACATTGGGCACGGCACTCAGTGCAGAGTTTGCTTGTCCCTCTCAGTTCCCCCACTCGCGCTCTCTCTCACTCTCAAATAAATAAATAAATAAAATCTTCCAAAAAAGAAGGAGATTCCGGACCTAAGTGTCCCTATTTCCTTGTGACATTCAGAAGTCCAACTCATGTTTGAGGCTCATTCACACCTCACTTCTTTGGGAATCTTTCTGGAGTGTAAGTTTCCTAGGCCTCACTACTTCTCGGTGCTTTCCTCCCCATCTGCTCTTCTCCACTGCCAGCTCCCCTAAAACACAGGTGTATGTGTGTGTCTTTAGCTAGCTGGTGTGCTTTCACTCATTCATTCAAAAATAGGCAGTACGGGCCAATGGTTAGGAGTGCACCTGGGAGCCAGAGGGCTAGACATCGCTCTGACAGTTGCTAGCCTGCCCACTTCCAGGTAAGTGGTAATTTACCCACTTACTCTCTCAGCCTCAACCCTCTCATCTCTAAAATGGGCATACGGTACCAACCTCATAAGGCTGGGTGACAGTCAGCTAAATGAATACCCACAAAGCATTAGAAGAGTGCCTGGCATATAGTAAGCTCTCAATAAATAAGATACACATTGTTCTTATTCTATAATAGCCGAGGCCAAAAGGAGAAATGTGGGACGATGAATCTGGGAGTATAACTCATGTAAGCCCAGGAAAAGCAGAAGTGCAGCCAGCCCTTGGGACAACGGAAGGGCTTTCCCTTGCTCTGTCTATCTCTCTTTGTCTTTCTGTCTCTCCCATCTTGTCTTTGCCTGTCAGCTTCATTCCCACAAACCAGCCCCTTCTATGGGGCAGGAAACATGGCCACCAAAGCATCCTATTTCTTTAGAGAGAACCTGAATTTTCTTCCCTAGATCCAAGGCTTCTACCCTGCCTCCAAAATCGCAGGGGAAGACTCTGATTGGTCCAGCTTGGATCATGTGTTTATTCCCTGGGTCAATCAACTATGGGGGGAGCGGGAGGGAGAGATGGAGTTGCATAGCACAGATGTGGCCACCAGGGGGCCTTTACCCAGGTATCAGGACCCCCTCTCCTCCCCCACCCCCATGAGGGAAACCCCCACTTCAGCCCCTGAGAATATCTGATGCTGTCTTCTTACCACACGTCACACTTTATTGTGTACTGGCCTAAACGAATGTCATGTCCCCAAGCAGACTACAAGCTCCCTAAGAACAAAAATGATGTTGGATACTATTTTCATTCTTCTCTCTTCCCTCTCACCCTGCCCGTCACACACAGGGTGGCAACATCAAGCACACTGCTAGTCACATGGTCATGGAATGTCCCAGATAAGGAAAGAGATTGAAGAACTAAAACACAGAGACAGCAATTTGCCCAAGGTCACACAGCTCCAACTAGACTCCAGGTCTCCTGCCCTGTGATTTCTGATAGATTTCCCTCTCTCCTAGGGTAAAGGCTCCAGTCCTCATCCCCACAAGAAAATCTCCACCTACCCCAGTCACTTGCTGCCTCCGCGGGCTTATCTCTATGTTCTATCCATCTTCAAGGTGCTTATTATTTTATTATTTGTATAGTTGCCCTCACTGACCCCCTCTCCTCTCATTAGAGATAAAGGGATTTGTGACTCTGCCTTCCAGCCAGGGTGGCTTGCTTTCTGAAGTTTGCCTCGCCCCCCTCACCTTCTAGGCTTTCCCACTTGTGGCTTCCTCCGCCTGGAACACTGCATTGGTTTGCTGGGGCTGCTGTAACAGAGGACCACAGATTAGCAGAAATTTGTTCTCAAGTTGTGGGGGCCAGAAAGTGCAGAATCAAGGTGTCGTTGGCAGGGGTGGTTCCTTCTGAGGGCTTCGAGGGAGACTCTGCTCCTGGCCTCTCCCCCAGCCTCTGGTGAATTGCTGGCCACCTTTGGCGTTCCTTGGCTAATAGATGCAGCCCTCTGATCTCTGCCTTCGTCCTCACATGGCCTCCTCCCTGTATCATGTCTGTCTTGGCATCCAAATTGCCCCTTTGTATAAGGACACCTTATTGGATGAAGGCCCATCCTAATGACCTCAAGCAAGGTTGACTTGCTTACCTCTGTAAAGACCCTATTTCCAAATAAGGTCACACTCTGAGATACCGGGGTGTTAGAACTCCAACATCTTTTTCAGGGAGGGGGGACACAGTTCAACCCATAACAAGCACCATTCTCACCCTCTTCCTCACTCCAACTTCCCCCAGACAACTCCTCCTTATCTGTTCTATCTCAGGCGAGCCTTCTCTGACACCAGGCCCTGATGCCTTCTCTTGCATACTCTTCCTTCATATTTTTCGTGGATTGTTGGTATCTGCTTATGTAATTACCTGGAGAGTACCTGTGTCCGCCCCTCAGACTCTCCACGAAGACAGAAACATGACTGTTCCGTGCACTGCTACACCCCCAAAGCCCAGAATCTGGGCTATCAGTAAAGGGTATCAGCAAATATCTGTGGCCTGGATGAATGGTCTAGTGAGAGAGGTTAGTCCTTGCGAATCACAAAAATGATGAGGTCAGAGCCTCAGAGGCAGAGAGAAAGAATTTGCTCCATGAGCCACCAAGGGCCAAAACCCCACCCGCACACACCCTTCCCACCTTTGACTAATGGTCGTCGCCTCTCCCTCCCCCAGTTACACTGGGAGAATCCATGTCAGCAGAGCTGTGCAAACCTCAGGGAAGCTGGGGGTGAGTCAGAAGGGATGGTAAAGTGAACGGCTCTGAAACCCAAGCCCTGGCACTGAGCTGGGCGTGGGGGCAGGTTCATGGAAGGTAACAGTGCTTGCTTTAAGATTCCGGGGGCCCTCGGCAGCAGCATCTTCAGGAAAGCATTCTAGTTGGTAAGGGGCCAAGAATGCCCCAAGCTCCAGGTTGCTGGGGGTGCTGTGCCACCCCAGCCTGCAGAGGGTGGCAGGGTGGACTTCCTTGTGTACACCCCTTCCCCAGCGGCCATTCTGGGCTCACCTGTGTAGCAGATGCAGATACAATCTTTGTGGCCTCCACGTTCTCTCGTTCTCTCATGTAGGGGAGGGACACCTTCATCCTGCTCCATTGAAGCAACTCGACCTACCCCCCAGCATAAGAATTCCAGCCCCCATGCTTCCCAGGACCCCCTGGGAGCATGCCCTAGGCAGTAGAATCCCAAAGGGAGAAAAGAAGCCCTCCCAAAACCCAGCCCAGGACCACGGCCAAGCTGGAAAAAGTGACTTGCCGGCCAGTCACCACGTTTTTCCCCAGTGAAAGGCTGACTCATTGCAACAGGCCTGGGCTGGCTCAGACTCGAGCCGGTGGCTTGGAACATGCCTGGACAGTGAGCGCCTTGTCTGAAGGGCTGGTCCATGGGAAGCCACGGGTCAGGGGAGACCAGGCCACTGCCCCGGGAAACACCCGAACGCGGCCTCAGGAGCCCCTAGAGAAGCAGGGTGGCGGGGCCTTCCTCACCGCCCCTCCTAAACTCTTGGAGGGTGGCATAGTACCTACGCGCTGGGGAAGGTCTGGAGAGGTCCTAAGACCCCAGGGGGAATTAAACCCTAATATCCTGAGGCATAAATGTCATGGTGCTCCCTCCCCATAGGAAATTCAAACAGAAAACAACACTAAACAAAATAAATGTAGAAAAACCCAATAAGGTCTTGATTGGCTTCATGAGATTATCTCAATGGTTTTTTCGGAAATATCAAAAAGAAATTATTTTCCAGTGTTGGGGGGCCATGGAAGGGAGCCAGGGCTGCTTTCCCAGGGCCCTTAGTGCACCTGCCTTTTGGGTAATTCGGCGCCAGGCACAGAGAGCAGCTTGTCCCTGGTGGATGCCCCAGAACCTCTTCACTCCTCAGGACATCGTCCGTGTTGTCATCCAAGGCTCTTTGGCAAGGACTTTTGAGTCATATGTTGGCTTAAATCCTGGCTGTGCCATCTGCCTGCCATGTGACCTTGGGTAAGTCATTTGATCTCACTGAGTCTCAATTTCTGTACATGCAAAATGGAAATTACACAACGTAGTGCCCTAGTACAGTACTTAGCACAGAGTCTCGGGTATATGCTAGGTGTCTCCCAGCTTCTCCCTTTGTCCCCTACAAAGCTTCTCTCAGGAAAGAATGTCATCAGTCATTCACACTTTAACGTGAATAAGCTCCTACCAGTGCCCTTCGTTCTTTCCATTCATTTATTCCACAAATGTTTGGGTACATGCCATGTGCCCGATTTGAGCCAGGTGCTATTTAATCTACGTACAGATTTTTCTTTTCATCCTCACAACGGTGTCTACAAGATCGCTAATATCCCCATTTAGTGGTGGAGGATACTGAGTTTCAGGAAGGTGAAAGAATGTTCCCAAAGTCACCCAGAAGAGCCTGGGTTCACTTGTTCATGCAGGAAACATGGGCTGAATTTTTGCTCTCTTTCAGGAGAGGTGCTAGGGACACAGCAGTGAAGGAGTTGGACCCCTATCTTAAGACTCTGGCCACTGTGTGCATTTGTACCTTTTGTCATCGCTCTAATTGTGAAAGTCCCGTTCAAAGCTTGTGCACGTGGGCAGGGAGAGCCTCTCCCTTCCTTCCAATTGACTGTCTGAGGGAGTTGCCTTCTTCCTACTGTGCGGAGCTGATCCTACCCAAGGCTGAGCTGACAAGCCAAAAAAACCTCCTGCCTTTTCTTTCCACATCATTCTGGGGCTCTGCTGAGTGCGGATTTCCAAGACTACCTCAGAAGAATTCCATTATTCCATTCTTGTCCTTTTTTTTTCTTTTGCACTTCATGATATATATTACAGAAACGACACATGTTCATTATTTAAAAAAAGAAAAAGAAAATACAGAAAAGCGAAAATTCTCAAATAATCACTCTAAGTCCTGCTAAGATGGTTAAAATTTTGTTATATTGTCTGCCAGACCTTTCTCTTATGCAATTCCTTTTTTTTTTTTTTTAAGATTTTATTTATTTATTTGACAGAGAGAGACACAGCGAGAGAGGGAACACAAGCAGGGGGAGTGGGAGAGAGAGAAGCGGGCTTCCCGCGGAGCAGGGAGCCTGATGCAGGGCTCGATCCCAGGACTCTGGAATCATGACCTGAGCCAAAGGCAGATGCCCAGCGACGGAGCCGCCCAGGCGCCCCTCTCTTATGCAATTCTAATACAATTAATAATGATAAGAATAATGGTGATTTTCACTAATTTTCACTAACTCCGACACAGAACTTCCTCTGGGCCAGATACTATTCTAAGCATTTTAGACATTTTAACTAAATTAATCCTTACAGCAACTCAGTGAGCTGATAATTATTGTCCTCATTTTACAGGAGTGGAAATTGAGGAAGAGAAAGAGAAAACTTAAAAGTATAGATGCTATTCTTTATTTTAAAAATGGGATCATTCTGAAGATACTGTTTTGTGACCTACTTTTCCCCCCTTAACAAGAAATAAATAATAACTAATACACTTTCCCCACATACTTTTTCATGACTATGTAGTATTCCAGCATTTACACATACCATAAATTACTCAGTTACTCAACCAGTCTTCCGTAGGTCATTTTTCTGATTGTTATTATTTTTTTTTATTATGACACAGAGATGTTCATCCTTGTAGCTAAATCTTTGAAAACCTGATTCACAACTCCCTTAGAATAACTCCTAGAAGTAGAATCTCTTGGTCTGAAGATGTACACGTTTCAAGGCTTCCAACATCTCTTGCAAACTACTTCCTAGACAGGCAACTCTGCTGGGTTGCTAAAGGAATACGAACTGTCACAGCCCCATGCAGACAGCTTTGGTAATACCCATCATAATGACAGATGCTCATACTACGGACCAGCAATCCCATTTCTGGGAGTTTACCCTGAAAGTATTGTTGTACACATGCAAAATGATGCATGTATAAAATTAGTCATTGCAGCCCTGTTGATAATCGCCGAAGATCAGAAATAACCCAAATGTCCATCATAAGGAACTGGTCAAATAAATGATAGTATATACAATAATATACTATACAGTTGTGAAAAAGAATTAAAAGCCTTTCTATGTATTCATGGGGATAGCTGCCAAGATATAGTAATTGAAAAATAAGTGCAAAATGGTGTGCATAGCATGTTATTTTTGTATGAGAAAAGACTACAAATGATAGCGAACGTTCCTATTTGCACACATAAATATAAATAAGCTCTAAAATAAGTTAAAACAGTGCCTAGCAGCCTACTCACGGGTGACTTTGGTGAGGAGAGGGACTGGATGAAAGAGGATGAGTCAGGACAGGAGAAAAATTTTTTTCACTGATCATTTCTCATGCTTTTAGATTTTGAAACCATTCTGTACTTGTTCTCAGAAAATTAGTCTTTAAAAATCGCCTTCCAGGAGATGGCAAGTGAAATGCATGCATTTTTGGTAACCGTGAACTTCTGGTGACTGTACAGTTTGAAATACTTTTTTTTATCGAATTTTATAAAAAAATAAAAATAAACAAAAATTGGCTTCCAGTATGGTTAAATTGTTTTGGGTGTGATAATGCTATTGTAATTTTTAAAGATTGCTTACCTTTTAGAGATATATATTAAAATATTTATAAATGAAATTATATGATGTCCAGATTTGCTTCTAAATAATATATGAGCAGGGGAAGCAGATCAGTACATATATTACAGATGACACTGAGCATGAGTTGATGATTATCAAACCCAAGCAACTGGTACAAAGAGGATTTATTATGCTATGCTGGGTATTTTTTAAAAAATAATTTATATCGGTGAGATTCACATAAAATTAACCTTTTTTTTTTTTCTTTTTTTAAAGCAATACGGAGCTTGAACTCACAACCTTGAGATTAAGACCTGAGGTGAGGGTATCCGGATGACTCAGTCAGTTAAGCATCTGCCTTCGGCCAAGGTCATGATCCCAGAGTCCTGGGATTGAGCCCCCGCATCAGGCTCTCAGGTCAGCAGGGCGTCTGCTTCTCCCTCCCACTCTACCTCTGTGCTCTCTCTCTTTCAAATAAAAAAAAAAAAAGAAAAGAAAGAAGACCTGAGCCAAGACGGAGAGTGGGACGTTTAACTGACCAAGCCACCCAGGTGCCCCAAAATTAACCATTTTATTATTTTTTTAAGATTTTATTTATTTATTTGACAGAGAGAGAGCCAGAGAGCACAAGTGGGGCAACAGCAGAGGGAGAGGGAGAAGCAGGCTTCTCGCTGAGCAGGGAGCCTGATGTGGGGTTTGATCCCAGGACTCTGGGATCATGACCTGAGCCCAAAGGCAGCCTCTTGACCAACTGAGCCCCCCAGGCATCCCAAAATTAACCATTTTAAAGTGAACAATTCGGAGCCACTGAGGACATTCATAAACTTATGCAACTACCACCTCTATCTGGTTCTAAAATAGTTCCATCACTTCAAACTGAAACCACTGTACCCATTCAGTACTTTCCCCCCATTTCTTCCTCCCTGCAACCCCTGGAGACCACAAATCTGTGTTCGGTCAGTGTGTTATTCTCAAGATTTCATATAAATGGAATCATCCACTGTGCAACTTTTTGTGTCCGGCTTCTTTTACTGAGTGTAATGTTTTCAAGGTTCATCCATACTGTAAAATATATCAGCACTACATTCCTTTTTAGTCTAATATATATATGTGTCTGTGTATATATACACACAGCACATTTTGTGTATCCATTCATCCACTGATGAACACTTGAGCTGTTTCCATCTTTTGGCTATTGTGAATATGCATGCCTGTGTACTTGCTGGAGTACTTGCTTTCAACTCTTTGGGGTATATACCTAGGTGTGGTAGGGTTCTATGGTAACTCTATTTTTAACTTTTTGAGGAGCCACTTAAGTGTTCCCAAGCAGCTGGACCATTCTACATTCCCACTGGCAATGTATGAAGATTCCAATTTCTCCACATCCTCGACAACACTTGTTATTTTCCGTTTTGTTTTTTCTTCATTACAGCCATCCTAGTGGGTGTGAAGTGATATCTCACTGTGGTTTTGATTTGCATTTCCCTGATGACTAATGATGTTGAGCATCTTTTCATGTGCTTCTTGGCCATTTGTCTATCTTCTTTAGAGGAATGTCTATTCGAGTCCTCTGCCTATTTTTAAATTGGGTCATTTTTCTTTTTGTTGTTTCTGTCTACTTTTATATATGTTTTAAATTCTCCATAGTAAGAAGAAGATACAAAAATATTAGATATTGTATTTAAAACTTTAAGAAACACTTTTTTTTTTATTTTCTGGAGAGTACTTTTCCCTCCTCCTCCCACCCCCCTACTTGAATTCCCCAGAGACCCTTGCATAATCCCAATCTCCATGTGCCATTCATAACGCGACTTCAAAAAAAGCATTTGCCCTTCAAACAAATAAATAAGCATGTTTCTTCCCTTTCTCCTTCTCAAAGGTGGGTGGGAGACACAGAGAGCAGGGCTGTCTTTGGAGGAACAGACGCTGACTGTCCCCATCACTTTGGCCTCAGTCTGAGGCTGACCCCACTACCTACCAGCCTGGTGATTCATTCCCTGATGTCCCACCTCAGTGTCTTTACTAAGATTCCTCCGGGAAGGGAGGGTCCCATCTATACCAGAAGAAACCTTCTGGGCCCCAGTCCAGCCACATCATAAGACTGGATGGCCCAGCCTCGAGACAAGCATGTCAGTGGCTTCCATAGCCAGTGGGAGAGGC